AAACTCTTGCATGAATCTTGTTAGTGATGCTGGCTTTCCAATATCAGTCTCAATCTTCTCTGTCTTTGGTCACCTGTTTATAAATGTAATTCTCTGATTAGACCAAAAATCAACATCAACAGCAACAAAACCCCAAAAGCAAACACTTCTATTCCTCATTAGTCTCAGCTGTTTTGTTTCCCTCTACCTTTTCATGTAATACTGTTAGAAACATGTATATGTATATGCATATATGTATCTGCATATATGTACTTTAGATACTAGAATGGGCTAACAATATTTATAAATAAATGGAAGCATAATGACTTTTGTAGATATATCTGTACTTGACACTTGACCCTTACTCTAAGCAAGTATGCATCTCCATGTTTAAAATGCTGATGCATGATAAATGTTCAAACATATCTATGATGACCACTGAATTTTGAAAGTCTATGGATGTGTACTAAGGGAAAGAAACTTGGGAGTAAGATATATGAATAGAGAACAAATAGCATGAACTAACTTAATATCACTTATAATCATTGAATAAAAATAAATTATTGTTGTAACATGCAGAAATGTTTGTCTTATTGAGCATTGAAATGCAAAAGCAATATTGTAAACTAAAGCATATCAGCAATTGCTTTTTATTGTCTACAGATTTCTAAGAAACTTCATTTATGTCTTATTGGGTAATTCATAAAGTTATTTCTTCTGACTTTCATAATATTTTTCCAAATCATGTTAGCTTATGCACTAAATGTATTGCAGTTCTTCCTCTTTAAAAAAAATGCAAACATTTTTCTCCTTTCTTCCTATTAGCACATAGTTAAGAGAGTATCCAAGACAGTAATTGGTATCAATGAGTAAAAATTCTTAATTACTATAATTCAAGTTATCAAAATGATAGTTATTTGGTTAAACGCAGATTAATTATTAAAAATATAGGTTTCCCCCCCCAAATATATGTTTGAATCAATGATATGGAACTGTGCTATCTAGAAAATACAAATTAAGGGTCTCCTTCACATCCTACATTATTTTTTGATGATGGAGAGTTTCATTGTGATTCTGCTACTGGGAATAGATTTCAGAATCACATAGCTAGGGAGAGGAAGTCTGGATACAACTGAATTCCAGTTATATAATCTGGGGTGGTAAGGGGAAACAACACTGAGTTCTGTCTGTCTTCTGTGGTCTAATAATAAATGTTTGGAATACGAATCTAAGAGCCAGACTAAATATCAGAATTGTTGTGTTGGGACAATTGAGGTTTAGAAAGAATTTGAGTTCCTCCTACTTATATATCCCCTTGTGCTGAGAACAATATTATTGTGGGATACCCCTTACAAAGATTTTCTTTAGGAATTAGGAAAATTGATAGAAAGATCCTTTGAAGCACCTAGTTCTATATGTCACCCATTTTTATTTCCCAATTCTGCCTTGGGACAATGACTATTGGCAATATACTATCTCTAATAACGTGTGGACATTACACATTAGTTCTTGGAGTAAAACAATAGGGTAAATATGGGCATATTTTAAAATTATGAAGTACAAGCTTTACTACACCAGCTTTACTTAGTGATTTTTTGTTTTTGCTGCTGTTATTGTGCAAATGCTCATTTAGGGATTTTATTTCTACTGTCTTCAGTCCTCAGTAAATGTGACTGACTTGTTTTTGCAAGTGGTATGAGATGGCAAGCCACCATCACTTGCAGGCAATTTGGTCTTCATTACAAATTAATGAAGTGATAATTGCTCTCTGCAACCTTTTACATGCAAAGCATTGTGGTGCTGTTTGCATTATCTTCTTTCAATTTGTACCTCTGAGTTCAAGGACTTAAGAAAGCTTGCCAAATGAGCATTGAGAGAGAAAAAAGTGAGAGAGAGAGCTCCATAATTAAAAATCATACTTTATATCAAATTGCAAAAGTATCTCTATGATCTTTTCTATTTGATGTTTAGTAAAATGCTGTTCATACACACACAGCAGAAGAAATTGTAATTGATTCATCAGTCGAAGTGCAAACTCATATTTATTAAAGAAATCTTGACCTAAAATTTTTTAAGTCAATAATGTTATTTTTAAATAATGATGTTGATTATCTAACTTTCTATAAAATGCCCACAGGAAACATTTATTCTCTGGAGTTTTTGTTAGCTCTGTCCTTTACAATGCCATTGGAGAACCAATGTAGTGATAGAGGATTCCACATAATAATGACTCCTTAACATCAAAGATTTTGGAGCTCCAACTCTGTTCACTCTTTTTAAATTGTTTTCTAATATTAAACATATATTAATTTTTCTTATAATCTCAGTGTAAAATCCTCAGAACTGAGACTCTTATGTATGCTTTTCTTCATAAAGTCTTCATAGAACAGATGTTTGAAATGGCATATTGGTGATTATTGAAAGCACAGTGTGAATATTTTCTTTTTTATATTAAGATATAAATGTGTTTTTTATATTAGGTCTAAAGTCCAAATTTGTTTCTTTGTTGGACCTTGAGTGTGACAATGCAGTCAAGCCAATTTTGCCTCTAGAAAACTAATGCCTTTCTTATATTCTAGACTCTGAATGACCGAGTTTATTAAAATAAATAGTGCTTTTTACTTATTTGCTTTTGTTTTGTTTTCAGCTTTGTAAGAGAGCTAGAGAAAATAAGAAGTTTTTACGTTATATTGGTGGTAGTTCACAAATCAGTTTTGATAATTCAAACAGCATAATATAAACAATTATTTTTAATGAGATCAAAGGCAAAATGAATATTATATTTCTTGTGGTTACCATCAATTTAATAAATTAACATTTTATCTTATTTTGTGACAAGAAATTATGGATTGAAATTTCTATGTTTTTTTAAAATAAATTTAAAATTTTAATATACTTTAAATGCTATTGATTTAGTTTAATAGTATGTAAAACCCTGAAACACCAATCCAAAATTACCAATGCACCCCAATGTCCATAGCAGCACAATTTACAATAGCCAAGTGCTGGAAGCAACCTAGGTACCCATCAGTAAATGATAGGATAAAAAAACTATGATACATTTACACAACAGAATTCTATGCAGCAGAAAGAAAGAAGGAGCTCCTATCCTTTGTGGCAGCATGGATGCAACTGGAAAGCACTGTGCTAAGCAAAATAAGCCAGGCGGTGAAAGATAAATACCATATGATCTCACCTTTAACAGGAACCTAAATAACAACAACAAAAAAACAAACAAACAAGCAAAATATAGACAAAGACACTGAAATAGAGAACAGGCTGACCAGAGGGGAGGAGGGAGGAAATTTCAAGGGAGAATGGGAAGGATTTACAGGAACAAGTATAAAGGACACACGGACAAAAACTAGGAGGGAAGTGGAAATGGGAGGGAGGTGGGGAGGGCTGGGAGGGTTAGATGGGATGTGAGTAAAAGACAGAAAACTGTACTTGAACAACAATTAAATAAAAAATGACTCTGACCTCACCTCAAAAAAGAAATAAAAGTATGTAAAACTTTCCATGCCATTCTTTTAATGGAAAAAAATAAGAATACGTTTATAAAGGGATTCCCAAGGATTGTGTTTATTTATGTATTTATAAAATTAAGATATATCACCTAATAAGAACTTTATATTTGTTAATTTTTTGTGTGATTTTTACATGTGAAAAATTAATTCTTATGCATCTTCCAAATGGTGAAATTTTATCCTGCATACTATGGAGGATATGAGGAGGTATAAAATGTAGCAAAAGCACTGAAACAAAACTAAACTTACCTTAACATATACCTGAGTTAAATTTATGAATCAATATGGTATTTAATTAGGGTTGTATAACACATACAGCTTCTTAAAAATTGGTGGGGTATGAAAGACATCAAAGAATAAAGAGCAGAGTCCAGACAGAGTTATATGTAAACAAATGATCAAACGTGTCTTTTGAAAACAATGAAAGTGCTCATGTTGACAAGAATATGGTATGTGTATAGTGAAACATAATTCACTAACCACAAGTCAAACCTCTAGAAAAATATAAATGTAGAACCAGTTTTTGAAAAAACACAAATGCAAAATGAAAGAGTTATTGCACAGGTAATGGGAACCATGGAAGACTTTGAATTCAAGAATGACGTGCTACAAGATGTATCTTGCTGGCAGCAGTAGGCAAAATGGGTATAATTGTAGAATTGTAAGTAACATAAACTATCTGATGCTAGCTTAAAATCTCAAAACATGTTCTAAGGATCAAAGCAAGGACTCACTTTTCTAAAAAAAGTCTTGAAACATTTTAAGTGTTTTTACAATGACACTTAACTGTTAATATCAGCAACAACCCAAATAGCCATTTACTTCTTGTTTGTGTAAAACTGAATGCTGGAGGGTGAAATAAGGTATGTTTATATTTTTACTACAAATTTTCTTGCATAGCCCACCAACACATATTCCTTTAAATGACTATGTTTAAAATGTCATACATGAAGATACATGGTAATTACATCATTTAGGCTCATTTTTCTTCACCATGTATTGGTTTTACCAAGACATCGTCCAAATTGGCAGACAGTTAATAAAGATGAATTTATGCAATCATATGTTCATTCTTTTTAAATAATAAACAAAGAAGTAAAATATAATACAAAACTATACAACAAAACCATTTTACAGTGTTATTGAAGATGCCTGATTTGAGGCCTTAATTCTGGAATATTTGGCTAGGTCTAATGAAATGCTAAGCAACCTTTTCCCTGAATATCCCACAAACAGCAATGCACTTCACATTGTGTTCATCTAAATTATAAATCACCATATGCCAATGAGCTCAGAGAACCTTGCAAATAATGAAAACTTAAAACAAGAATGTTATGGCATTGCTCTACATCACAACCTTTAATGGGTAACACTAAAGTTTTTGCTTATTTTGTATTTTCTGTGACACCATTCACACCCTTGTCTTATTTATTATTTATTCATTATACTTAACTTATTTAATTAACTCTTTTTTTTTGTCCATTGTTTCTTCAGTGGGAAGAAATTAGTGGTGTTGATGAGCATTACACACCCATCAGGACATACCAGGTGTGCAATGTGATGGAGCACAGCCAAAATAATTGGCTGAGGACAAACTGGGTCCCCAGGAACTCAGCTCAGAAGATCTACGTGGAGCTCAAGTTCACCTTACGGGACTGTAATAGCATCCCATTTGTTTTGGGAACTTGCAAGGAGACTTTCAACCTGTACTACATGGAGTCTGATGACGATCATGGGGTCAAGTTCCGGGAGCATCAGTTTACAAAGATCGATACCATTGCAGCTGATGAAAGTTTCACTCAAATGGATCTTGGGGATCGTATTCTTAAACTCAACACTGAAGTTAGAGAAGTAGGTCCTGTTAACAAAAAGGGATTTTATTTGGCTTTTCAAGACGTGGGGGCCTGTGTTGCTTTGGTGTCCGTGAGAGTGTACTTCAAAAAGTGCCCATTTATAGTGAAGAATCTGGCTATGTTTCCAGACACCGTACCCATGGATTCCCAGTCCCTGGTGGAGGTCAGGGGTTCTTGTGTTAACAATTCCAAGGAGGATGATCCTCCCAGGATGTACTGCAGTACAGAAGGCGAATGGCTTGTACCCATTGGCAAGTGTTCATGCAACGCTGGGTATGAAGAAAGAGGTTTTGTATGCCAAGGTAAGTCTTCCTTCTTTTTGTTAGAGTGGCAGTTCTCACCTGCGAGTTTATCATAGAGTCATTGAAAGAAATGCATTTAGCTTGCACTCACTTGGCAGGAAAGCATGCCTTAAACTGAGCACAGTCTATTTATAGACTAAATTTATCCCACTTGATGTGGGATAAACATAGTTTGTTTTAGAAATATCAACATATTTGAGTATGTGGTGCTGGGGTACACCCCACTAGAGGTGCTAGATATGCTATTTTTAAGTTTTTTCCTACTATATAATGACTATAGTAGTATAACTCTAAGAAAACATATTTTTTCTGTCATTTTTATGTAGAGACAAGAAACATCATTGACATTCAGGTAATCTAATTCTAACAGAATTAGATAGTACTGTTGACTAGGTTTATGCTTTTCTGTCTCACAGAAAAAATAGTCCTTTCCTATGCATTCAAATTTTAAATGTATAAATGCATAGGAAAAGTTAAGTACCTATTCTTTAGAATTAGTCTATTTTAACACCTTTGTTATTATACTCTGCCAAAGAAATTGAGTTTAGTATTCTGCTTATGGCCATTCAGTAAGTTTCTAGTCCATGGGGGAGAAATTAATATACTTTATACATAAATTTACCTTTCAATAACAATTTGAACAGAACGTGACATTTTACTTTTGACTAATGACATAGTTTACAGAAAAAAAATTAATAAGAACAAATGGTACACTCTAGCCGCATACTTCTCAGTATTATTTAGATCTTTGGCAAGCACCATTAAAATACTATTTCAAAGTACAGTTTTGAAAGTTCTGTAATTGAAACAACACACTAGCAACTCTGCTTATATACATGAGAGGAGAGAGAGGTCTAAATAGCCTTCATATTCCACTTTGAATTGTATTTTATTAACATGATATTATTTGTGATATGATATTTGGGAGATTAATTTTAAATAAAATGTTTAAGGCTTAGCTCAAGAGGAATTTTAAAAATTGTCCATCCCTTGCCTATGGAACCAGTGTCTGATACTCATACCCAGAGGAATAGATGTGTCTCCATTTTAACAATATGTATCAATTCAAAGCAGCACCATCTCATAAAATAGTCCATTGAGCAAGAAACCTAATCATTAGATGTTTGGATTTTAAATGATTTAATGTAGTGCTTTATATCTCATTTATAGTTATAAGAACCGGAAAATAAGTATCAGTGAGGTAGACTCACATAAAAGTGCTAATAGAAGCAAAGCATTTAAATGATTTGTTCGTCACACACGCTGTCTTATAGACACACTTTAGTAGAATATTTTTTTCTAAAGAGTATCATTAAGTTGTATTCAGAATGTTCACAATAAATTCAGAATTGCTACCTACCACTTTTCTAACCTCACCTTAATTTACTGAACCACTTTTTTTAAAACTACTGTGCTATTCAATAACATTCCACATCAAATTACTCCTAGAGAAAACATGTATGTCAAAGTTTTACATCCTCTAACCATTACATTGAAGGACATCAATAGCATAACTTCACTATAAAAACACTATGTTACTGACTTTCTCAGCATTTAAAAATACTGGTTTCAGAATAAGAGATGCATATGCATAAATATAACATATTCTAAGAAAATATTTTGAAAATAAATCAATAAAACAATTTAGTAGAATTAGAGATGGTGTGTAAAGTGGGATGTGGTTGGAATTTTAAAAAAAGGATGATACTTAAGTCATGTAATTTGAAGGTGGAACATGTTCTTATGGTCATTTCTGGACATTTGCTGTTGCTGTCGGGTACATTTCGGTTTCCTTTCTCTTCATAATCAACAAATCCTTCTTAGACAAGGTGTCCAAGTATTCTACTTTGTTCTGAATTGTGTGCCATATTGAGTATAAACCACTTTGATTTTAACAAATACTAATTTTAATGTCAGCTTCATATACACTTTATTATGTCTTGAAAATCCATTACACACACATCAGTCCCGCAGCCTTGAATCTGTGATAGTGTAGACCAGCACAGCTTGAGGCTTGCCATTTGTTTTTGTGGTCAGTGGTGGTGCTAGGATTTGTTACAATTTTCTTTCTTAACTTTTAGTTTTTAGATGGTTTTTAATAAGCTTATAGGCTGATCAGAATAGCTTTCTGTGATTCTTACAAATCAGTATGTGATCGTAAGTACTTCAATTCAGGCACAAAAAAGTAAAATATGAATAGTAGCTAAATAAACATATATTTTGTGAGTTCAGTCTTAGTTTGCTTTTTTGTTTATAAAAACATTATGTTACTCTTTTAAAAAAGAGATAGAACAATACTTTGATATACCCACTACTTGGACTGAACATATAGATGGATTTTAAATACATCAGGAGAATTTTTTAACACAATTATAAGTAATCATAGCTTTCAGTTGCCTAAAATTGGACAATGAGAATCTTTTACTTTACTTCAACAAACATTTAATAAAACGTACTTCATTTCAAACACTGTATTAAGATTTCAAAATTTTTAAAAACATTTATAAAGCACTTATTTGATGCCAGACACAGTGCTAAATTAAGTAATATTTATGAGTTATTCCATTTTCCATTTAAAACAACCTCTTAATACACACTATTATTACTTCTATGTAAAAAATGAGAACAGAGTTTTGGTGGTTGAAATATCTTTCCTTAAGTTCCTTAACAAGTGAGTGTGAGTCGGGTCTGAAATCGGGCAGTCTGATTCCAAAGTCTGCAGCTGTGACCACAGCCCACACTGCTTCCTTATGATTCGGTCTGGTGGTGACAGAGGCTAGGAAACCCACAAGGACACAAATTCCACTGGAGTTAAAGTACTATATGTTGAAGAATGAGTAGGGCCACAAAGAGTTGGCACAAAGTAGCTAAGAATATGTTAAGACAAGGTTCTAGATTTTTAAGGAAGATTGTTAGCCGAAATGTCATACCATGGGAAGATTAAGTTTAGCCTAATCTAATAAAATCTGGATATGTGGATTGCCGTGCACCTTAGGCATTAAAAAGTCTACCAAATTTAATTCCATAAATAATGTTGACCATCTATTAATACAAATTAATAATGTGCCAGACACAGGGGAAACATAGATGAATAAGTCATTGTATCTGCCTTCCAGGAGCTCACAATCTTGTATGAAAGATAGCTACAAAAATGAATAATTTTTGTGCAAAACAGACCAATAAATCTTCTACCAGGGCTACAAATGTGTCTTGGTAATGTAGGGGAAAAAGAGATTAGTTTTGAGTATTTCAAAATTATATAATGGAAATTGTTCATTAATAATGAGAAGCCTTTGAATTGAGTTTTGGACTCAGGCTTAGAAACTTCTGGTGTAGAGAGAAAAGGCTAATGACTTTACACAGCTTACGCATTTCAGAAGGTGAGGTTTGTAATTTGTTTATTGAATCATTATCTCAAAAATCTCAAAATGTGGAAAAATCCAATTAGACTTTGGTGTTTGTTCCACAGGGAGGCCTTATGTATGGGGTGGCAGCAGGGAGTACATTTCATAACTGGGGTGTTTTCTGACTTCAGGAATGAAATATTCTGAATTATCTATTCCACTATAAATGGATATTTAGGAAAGTAACTAAATGATGAAAATGCACCAATCTCTGATAGGAAAATATATTAATAAACATATTTTATATTTAAAAACATCCATTACTTTCAGAACTATATGTAATACCAAGATTGTCTTTGTATATAGGACCAGAATTCTGACCATGACATTGATCTACTCCTATATATACTGCAAACTTTCACAACAACCCATTTTTTCAAAAATGAGAAAAATTAAAATAATATGGAACATGTCTTCTCTGACTGACTTATTTCACTTAGCATAATACTCTATAGGCCCATCCATTTTGTCACAAAAGTAAGAATTCCTTCTTATGGCTGAGTAGTATTCCATTGGGGAATGAATGTACCACAACTGTTTTATCCACTGACCTACTGATTGACACCTGGGCTTCTTCCAGTTCTTGGTTACTGTAAATAATGCTGCAGTGAACATAGGAGTGCATATAGTCTTTCAAATTTGTGTTTTGGGTTTCTTTGAATATATACCCAGATGTGAAATCACTGGGTTATATGACAATTCTATTTTTAAGTTTTTGAGGAAACTATATACTCTTTTCCACAGTGCTTTCACCAATCTGCATTCCCTCCAAGTGCATGCATAAGGGTTCCATTTTCTCCACATCAACCCAAACACTTGTTGTTTTTTGATTTATTGATGATAACCATGTTAGCAGGTGTTAGGTGATTCTAAGGAACAAAATAAACAAACTGACAAAGTGGATAACAGACTCATGGAAACAGACTCATGGATACAGAACAAAAACAGACAGCTTTCAGAGGGAAGGAGGTTGGGTTAAATAGGTGAAGGGATTACACCAAAAAAGATTTCATAGAGACAGACAACAGTATAGTCATTACCAGAGGAAAAGGGAGACGGGAGGAGGTTGATGAGGATAAAGGAAGTATAAATAGTGATGGAAGGAGACTAGATTGTGAACACATAACACAAGGTACAGATGATGTATTATAGAATTGTACACTTGAAACCTATATAATTTTATTAACCAATGTCAACCCAATAAATTAAATTAAAAAATAAAATGAGAAAAAGTAAACAATACCCTTTAATAATTTATTCAGTTATTAAACATTTATTTAGCCTTTAATATGTTCAAATCCTGTCAGACAATAGAAAAACAAAGATGAGCATTATCACTGCTAAATTAGTTTAGCTGGTAATTAAAAAATGTGACAGTGTGTGTGTGCAAATGAATGTGTCTTAAAATGTAAAATGTTTTGGTCTCTGCCTCCAAAGGAACATAGAGTTTTAAATGAATTACTAAACAGAGTTAATAATAGTTTAAACTGAAGACAAGGTATGAGTATTGATGAGGAAGAGGATATTGATATGGGAATCTACGTTTGATGGGAAATTAACATTTTCAACAATAAATGCTTTCTGTTGCTACTTTCT